CCCACAGGTGGTGATGGTTCCCTATAAATAGTCTCCACAGAGACGGCCCAATGAAGCTGCCAGGACAACTATTTACAGATGCAACAGATGTGAAAAACAGACCATTTATCATTTTCAGCTCTGCTCCCCTTGTTCTCCAGGAGTCTCTTCAAATGCTATAAATTATGGAAAAACAATATTATGTGAAACAAACTTAATACATTTCCGATTTCCCTGAACATGACCTTGAGAGGATACTACTAGCCTTTTTTGGGGGGGAGGGAGTGCAGTTTTGGAAGGAGAACACTTTGCCATTATGAAAGGGTGGCCAGGCTGGACAGCATCCTTGGTGTCCTCCTACCTTGTTTTATGTAAGTATCTACATTGTAATTCCAAAGGGAAACCATTGGGGAAGGTTAGAGATTCTGATCCAACAGAACAGGTGCACTGACCCATAAATTGTCACTCTTCTGAAAGGCTCATAATTTAAAAAATGAATCCAAGAGGATTTACTGTAAATTACACACAGGGAGAAAGAAATTAATAGGATTTCATTTTTACACTCCGCAGTAACTATATAAAAAAGAGCTAATGATGTCCAGTTCTCCTCAACCTTCTCTTCTGTAAGTGGTGAAGGGAGGTTGTTGAGAGATTCATGACAGTGATTGCAGATGCTTCATGGTAATCCTTCCTCTGGTCCTATTCAACTTTTTCCCTATTGTATGAATGAAAGTGAGTGTAACATGACACACCCCATAGAGCCTTGATAGGAGTCAGTGGGTAGATGTCACTTGCAAGTAATAGCAGCTTCTCTCTAAATAATGACCTGGTTAATTTATCAACAATAGATTTCAATGCAGAAAACTTATATTTGAAGTACAAATATTTTAAAATCCCATCCTTCTGCTTTAAGGTACCCTCCTCCCTCCCACATAATTTCAGTTCATGCACACATATTTCAAAAAACATCGTTGTGCCTTTGCCAAACATATTTTATCAGTAATTTCATTAATATTATTGCTGACACAGAAAATAGTGCATCAAGGAAATCTGAACCAAAATCGAAGAAATGTAAACTAATTTGAAGTGAACCATATCTAAATTATTTGATCTCTTGGCCTTCTCTAATCTTTTAACCAGTTAATTGTCATGGGTCCAAAAAGGAACCATCCCCACATGCTATGATATTTTGAATTTAATTGCATCTATAGACGCTTATGGCATAAAAGGGGTTAAACAAACAAGCCTCAAATTCTGTGAGAGCTGCAGACCTTAGCCTAGTGTGAGAAGGATCATAGAATAAGACTGAATACTTTAATCAGTAAATGATTCCAGGACCTACAGTGGAATATGAATTTAACAAAATATCTATTTTCCCAAAGAGCCTTTAATGGGTGGGGATTTCAGGGTGACAAAGGAAAAGAAAGAAGAAAGTTCAAGTGTGAAAGGGAAGATGGTGTGTATAGACCAAGTATAATAGATGGACAGACTACATCTATCCACAAAGCCCCATTTCTGCACAGGTGTTAGACATGGCTAGTGGAAGCCAGAACTTTTACCTGCTGGATGTGCTGGCTGCCCTCATGGAACTTTGCAAAGCTTGGAGTGAGAGAGAGAGGCAGTGAGAGCTACCAGGCAAGGGAAAACCCATTTGCTATTCCTGCTTGGGGGGCTCCAGGACAGGCAGGTCTCTTCAGGAATGGGAGCTCAGCTCAAGGTCAGACTCCCTGGTGTCCCTGGAACAGCATTTTCTCTTCCTCCAAATGAGCTAACTTGGGGTAACCAGGGCTTATTCCAATGAAACTGTTACTGCTACTCAAAGCACTGCAGGAATTGCTTGCAATACTTTGTTTTTGAGCAACTTACTGGCTTTACAATCAATCAGAAATCACACCAAAGTACTCCTGGTTGTTTCCACACCTAAGACCCACACTGGAAAAATGCAACTTTGTCCACATGTGACCCCCTGCTGAGCACATCTGTAGACAGTCTGTCCTCTCTCCCCCAGGCCCACTTTCTTTTCTCCCCTGTCCCTGTGATCTGCCCTGCTTTCATCTCCTCTTCATACCTACCATCATTTTTTTCTCTCCCCACCACTGGGTTTCTATCCTCCTAGGCAAACTGCAAGGGAGGATTATACCTTTCATCTCCTGCCCAACCCTTTCTGCTTTCATTAATGCCATTACCTTTTTTCCTTTGGAGTAATTTTCTTTAGTGCAAGGAAACAAACTGTGTTCAATAAACAAATCTACATTTTACAGATTGTAAAAGTCATATAAATTATCTTGGTATGTATTTATGGCTTCACTTCCCTGATGCATCTATATAAATGTCCAACACAAGACCCTGATTTTGTGATCAAGTCTTTTGATCTTCTACTTGGATTCCTTGTCCCACCCACTCTGGACTCAGTGTGTATCACACATTCTTCACATCTTCATGGGGAAGTTTGCAGCCAGAGGCAGAGGTCACACAAGTAGTGCCTACAGCCTAATTTTTATAGATAACTTTTCATTGGGATACAGTCATGCACCATTTTTAATCTCTGATAGATACCAGAGATAATCCATTAGCAAATTAAAAAATTGTTTAAACTTACTAGACCAAAAAAGCAACCCCATGCTCAAGATAGTCACCAACATTGCAGGTTCATTCCAGAACAAAGTGGTTTCTCCATATCATGGGGTCTCTTTTTCTTTTCTCTAAAATGTATCAGATGATATCCTTTTCTACCCCAAGCTCTGAAGCACAGACAATCTGTTTGGATTTTCTAGAATGTTTAAGCAATGGCAGCATCACTGGAATAAGTCCATAGTACCCAAGGGGGTACTATACATTTTGAAGTTCAATTTCTTGTATTTTTGCTTGTGAAATGTTAAAATGGAATGTATGCATCCTCCTGGAAGTTCCCCAAATCCTCACATCTATTTTATAAAAACAGTGCCCATTGCAAGTCAACTTTCAAATAAGAAAACATTTCTCTTAAAAGTGAGGATACTCTACAAAACACATGGGAGAAATGGACTAACTGGTAGCCCATTATCTCTTTCAAAAAAGATGCTCATGGTTGTGCCAAATCATATTTTTCTTAGTAAGTCACACTGAACGAGAAAGGAAGATAAATCACCAGGAAAATGCAAGTGAGCTGGTAATAATCGCCTAGTTATTGCTGCCATGAAATAGTCATTAAGTTATACGCAGCATAAATCTCACCGAGTTTTGTAAATTATGGTGGTTCTTACAGGCCAAATAAAGATAAACCCTCTTAACCATGGCTGCCTCTATCTGTGCTCCTTGGCATGGCTTTTTAACATGCGTTAGCTCAGGCTTATAGTATCATATGGTTCCTGAAGCATCTAAGAAAGCATTCAAATTCCACAGCAAATTCAAGACCCCTCTTGCACATTTTGAAAGTGAATATATATTTCAGAGAGGGAGAGATGGAAACATCAATGATAAGAGAGAATCATTGATCACCTGCTTCACGTACATCTCCCACTGGGGATTGAGTCTGCAACCTGGGCATGTGCCCTGACCAGAAATTGAATCATGACTTTTTGGTTCATTAGTTGATGCTCAACACTGAGCCGTGCTGGAGAGGCAAGATCATCATTTCTAACCGGCCCCTCCCTGAACTCCTATACAGAGTCTTGCCCTGTTCTGGCTCCAGAGACCAGACAGGCTTCTAGCTCAAGCTTTAGCCTTCAAGATGCTCCTATTTCTAAGAATGTTGGAAGAGCAGGGGCCGGAGATGCGTCCTGCCCCAAGGGATGAGCTTGATGCTATGGTATCAGCCAGGCAGCCACCTCTATTGGGAAACCAACAGTGAAATCCTACCCTCCGATTTCCCCAGAGAACCAGTACATTCACAAAGTTTGCATGCAAAGAGCCCCAGAAATGTTTCTTTTCCTCCTTTTTGGAGGTTAGTGCTAATCCCCAGTTGATCTTTCCTCTTAACTGCACCCCCTCCCCGCTATTTAAACCAGATTCTTATTGCTCCAAATTAAATCCATTTTTTCTAGCCTTGTCACTGCTAACTAATGAGAACAATTCCTCTCTGTGCTCTTGGTGGCTGCACTCTGGGTACTTATGGATGAGAATCATATCCTCCGTTAGCCTACTTTCTTAACTGCAGACTGCACAGGTGATAAAATGGGTTAATTGTTGCTATAAAAATATTTTCTACCCTCATAACGAAGTAATTTTTCCTCCAAATCATTTTAATTTCTTAAAATTGCACTGTGTTCTTAATGATCTGCAATGACTGAGGGTGCAGTCCTATTGGGCTTATATACACAAGCAAAATGTTGAATGCACAATACACACGAATACACCGATTCTTGGTCACTGTGCTGTTTTCTTTTGGCCCCACCCACTCTGGCCTCAGTTTTTATCACACACTCTATACATCTCCAAGAGGAAGTTTGCAGCCTAGAGCAGGGTCACCAAAGTACAGCCAGCTGCCTGTCTTAATAAATACAATTTGTATTGGAGAAGTCACATACACTTTTAAAAAATATTGTGCCTACAGCTGCTTCGACATTACATGGCTACATGACCCCCAAAGGCCAAAATATTTACTAGCTCGCTCTTTATAAAAAAAAATACAAAAAACTTTGCTGGCCCTCCACCCTAGGAGATCATGAACATTCAAATTGGCTTTGCTACTTGTACCAGGTTAAGATGAACCACACCAGGTAAAAATCTCTTCTTTTTACACCTGAGCCATCTGCTGAAAGTTTCCTGAGATGCCAAACCACACAGTTAGGGAGGGAGTCAAAATGGGAAGAGTTTTAAAATTTGTATCCCTGAGGCACCCTAGGGCAATCATGGTTCTGAGAAGAGAATGAGACTAAACACAGAAACCATCCCTTGGATAGAATACCAACACCCACATAGGCAATTTTTATAGACACATGTCTCTTTGCTGTGTCTAACTATAATTTCTGCTGCGTTTATCTGGCTCCCCAACTCAGCCCACCAGGAAGACAAGAGAATTCAGACGAAGGCCCGGCACTCACTATGTGAAGCTGGAGGAAGTCTCCGAGGCCAGGAGCGCTGTCAATGCGAACCAGGATGCCATCCTTCACAGTGGTGCTGAAGCCCACGGCCAGGCGGTCCGAGCGCGTGCTGGGCCTGTCGTTGGCTGGCCAGGTGTAGAGGATGAGTCCTCCGCTCTTCCCAAAGATGTAGGTTGCGCCAGCTGCAAAAGCAAGGAGAGGGGGAGTCATCAGGGCAGCCAATCACGTGTTGCCAGATGTGGGCACACAGTTGAGCCTCTGCAGACAGCTGTGGAGGGGACACGCCCCCAAGTACCAGGATTTGGTGCCCGGAGGGATGACATCCAAAGCCTCCAACGGTGGGCTGTCACCTTGAATTAAAGATGCAGGCAAAAACAAATTAATAACAGAGCAGATGTCAGGGAGCAACATTCCAAACATCTTCAGTTCCTGCTGCCTCGGGGCAGAGGGCAATTGATATGCTGTGTCTGAGAGCTTGGGGACGTGTGACAACCAACTTTTCTGTCCTCCTCAAGAGCAGGATTAATTTACCATCTTTGCCAGGACAGACACCAGACAGAAAAGGAGTGCCTGTATCTCTTAGCAATCTGGGTATTCTAGTCAGCGGGGCTGGGAGCCGTTCCAGAGACACCTCAGGAAACTGAGGGAAAACCCAGAGGGTCCAAAGCCATCATTCCTTTCATGTGTGGACCTCTACCACCCACAGAGAGGAAAGCTGGCGCCTCAGGAAACCAATTTCGTGACTAAAAGAGTTTGCCGATCTCACTGTATTGTTGCTATTTAACAGATGATAAAAATTAATTCCAGAGGCCTCTGAAAAATTAACTTTAGTATTTTCCCCTAGCAGTGGTGTTTATCTGCTATGACATAACAGTTTCCACCTACTTTTCTAAAAGGAGATATAGGAGACAGAAAACAAATCTCAGTATAATGAGAAGTGGTGTTGTCAACTCTGACTAGTGGGTTTCTCAGTGTATTTACTATTATTTCCTATTATTACTTGTGTTTTGCTATTGCTAGTTACAAACCCATGGGTTTGTAAGAAGATATTAATTTAAACATACTTAGAAAGCAAGCAGGAAAGAAAATAAAGAAATCATTTGCATCTCATAAATTGAAAACATCTGTTTTTATAAAACAAGTTTTTGAATCTGAATTTGGGGAAAAGCATTTAAGTTTGGTAGCCAGAATAGACTACATGATTGCAATTTCCATGCTTGTGTGCATGTTACCCACAATGGGCGCTTCCATATGTTACTTATCTCCAAGTTCAAAGACCATTTGGCACCAGATGGTCTTGTATGTTTCCCACTGAACACGGTTCAATCCTTGAAACTATTTTAAAGCAACATTAGACAAGCACTCAGATATCTTTAGCATTCACGAAAAATCTTAAGCCTTGGTCCACATTGAGTTTACAGAGGATATTGGGTTGAATGATGTTTGAAGAGAAATGCAGCTCATAAATTGCTATGAGGCTAGAAATAGGAGAATATGTCATGTATCATCATTTTTTAAGCTCTAAGCCACATTATATTCTGAGGCATCTGAGGCATATAAAATCTAATTTATTATTTATCAAAAGTCACTATACTGGTTGCTCAGTTTGTATATTATGCATAACATAACATCATTTTTCTCTTATGAATTTATCAATCTTTAGTGGACAGTGTCTGAAAAGCCCTTCAGGCCTCTGGAGAATTTGGGACTGTGATATGGAAAGTTTATGGTTAATTCCATATGCAAAATAATGTTTGCTCCTCACCATCCACAAACTCTTTTAAAGCTTCTTAAAATTAGAAATATGTGTATAGTCATTTACCCTTGGTATCATTCCATCTGTGCAGAATTTAAATAATTCCCTTTGTGTGGATGATTACAAATATCATCACTGCTACCTTTAATCTTTATTTGGAAAACTGAAGGTTATTCAGTGATTAATATATAGAATCACCAAAAATGCAAATCAGCCTGTGACATTTTGTGGCAATTTATAAAAACATACCCTATTCTATCCTAAATATATAGTGGATTCTGCTATACAGATAAACCCATCAGGACATCCAAAGCCCCAAGGGTGGGATGTCACCTTGAATTAAAGATGCAGGCAAAACAAATTATTTTGTCACTATGAATAGAACTAGTCAAAAGTTAATAACAGTGATAGATATACATGATGCTTTATAGTTTGCAAATCCTTTTCAAATTCAGGAACTGGATCTTCCCAACTGTTTTATGGGCAATCTCATGTGTTAACACTGTTTGGGAACACAGACCCAAATATCTGACTTAATTAAGTGGCACCTCCTTTAAGTCTCCAGCTTAACCTTCCTGCCTCTGAAAGCCTATCTTTACCATATGCCAATCATAGCTGAATATAATAACACAAAAAAAACTATCCCAATGATGCAACCTTGACTGTACTTCATCCTTTTCATATATTCTCCTAAGACTAAAATGGAACAAAAGCAAAGCCATAGCCCCCAAATCTGGCATGTTTTCAAAAGGTAGTCTGGTCTTCTTACTAAAAAAATAACATTACAAACCTTCTATTCTGCTTATATTTCTCCCCCGCTGCCCTATTCCGGAATTCTCAATATAAAGAGGAAGAGCACTTTAAAAGATAACTATATAACCCCTTATATATAGTGGTTAGGAGGTCACCAGGGCTTCATTTTTTTAAATAAGCAAAGAACAAAACCTCACAATGACAATATTAGGCTAAGCAGATATAAAATAACTTAAAATTATTTTAATTGCTTCTGTTATTCTGAATTTAGGATTTCACTACGTTAGATAATTCTAACTTTGCAGGTAAAAAGGGTGTAAAGATAAAAAAATTCTTAGCACATGAAATATTTTGCTCTGTAAAAATAAACATTAAAATATGTATTCTTGGTACTGAATTTGCTAGTGAGGGTGATAAAGTCCAATGTTGGCTTGAGAGGAAGTTAATAGTTGCAACTTTCAATCTGATAGCTTGTCATATTTTTCTCCTCACTTAGCTTTGCTATCTGGAATGGTTTTTAAATATAAATACAAGCTTTCATTTAATTTTAATATAAAATGCCTGTAGTCCCAAGGGGACCATAGAATTATTTTGGTTTATGTTTCCAAATTAAAAAGTTAATTTTGTTACTTTTAAATGTGGATTGCAAATCAACTTTTGGGGAACATTGCAGAACTGTAAGAACCTTCCTTAATCCATTAAATATTTTCATTTCTAAGCCATGCAGTACCACATCACACGTTTTCTCCCCCGAGCCTAGTAGTTCTGATGCTGGTTTCTTTCTGTGCTTATATGCCAATGCTAAAATCATACTACATATATTAATAATCTCAGCCATGTAAATTTCCTGCTTGCTGGCAAAAAGTGGTCAATTCAGTTGAAGAAAAAATTACTATAGTTGCATTTGGCCACTTAACATTGCAGGATTTTCAAGTTTGAAGGCAGCTGAGGTTGCTTTTCTGAATTCCAACCACCATTTTTTCAGAAATGAAATCTCCACACTGTCACCATTAACTAAGATAAAGTATAAACACTCCATCTTCAAACAGTAAACAAGTATGACATGTTATTTAGCACACAGCTTCTTTTGTCTCAAAAGGACCAAAAGAATACTTTGACTTATTGCTTTCATAATTGGCTAGCTGTTTACTGGGATGGAGCTGATGGTGGTTTTGATAGAGCGGATGGGAAGGTATATTTACATTTTGGTGTGTGTTCTGTGTGTGGGGACCAAAGGGGAGAACAGCCTCCAGTGAAATCATGGAAGAGTCTGGGGAGTGGTTTCATGTATTTACACAATAAGCTGATTAAATAGATGATCTATGATTTCTCAAAGAAGAATGAAGGAAAAACTGTTTTCCAGTTCATTCATTTCCCCAATAAATAGTTCTTAAATTTCTGGTGTATATTACTGCTTGTTTTACCAGAATCGCATTTAATTGTTGATGGCAACTCAACTTTTCCTTATTCAGGACCTCTTGGATAATTCTGTTTTTGTTGTTTGGACTTATAACCCTCATTGCCCTCTCATTATGACATTGTTTCTACATCTATTACCATATATAAATACCATATTACTTTTTGGGTATATTAATAATAGGAATAGAATCAGAGTTCTGTTTAAGATTTACATTAGAGCCCTGACCAGTTTAGCTCAGTGGATAGAGCGTCAGCCTGCAGACTGTAAGGTCCCAGGTTTGATTCCGGTCAAGGGCATGTACCCTGGTTGGGGGCACATCCCCAGTGGGAGGTGTGCAGGAGGCAGCTGATCGATGTTTCTCTCTCATCGATGTTTCTTACTCTCTATCCCTCTCCCTTCCTCTCTGTAAAAAATGAATAAAATACATTAAAAAAAGATTTACATCAGATATAAAAATAATTTATACACATGCATGTGCAAATATATATATCGGGATGTTTTCTATATTTATATATATATATATATATATATTTTATAATGAAGAAAGTTAGAAATTATAGCAGACTACCTGAAATTTATTTATTATTTCCCTCACCAAATATTTACAGATAAAATGGCTTCAGAAAAGCATGCAAATATAATGGTTTCCTACTTGTGTGTGTGTGTGTGTGTGTGTGTGTGTGTGTGTGTGTGTCTTTTAAATAACCTAAAGCATATTAGCTCTCCCTGAAATAGTTTTCAGGTGGTGTGAAAATGAAACAAGTTGGAAGCATCTCCCAGGGGAAGCCTTAGAGTGTGAAATTCAAAAAGAACTAGAACATTTACTCGTGGGCAGTGTCACAAGTAGATTAATAAATTAAGTAATAACATAAGTATTTCTTAGTGTGCATACCACCTGGCAGGTAAGCTAGGATAAGAACAAGGTGTCCGACTCCTACTCCAGTGCTATGTGAACATTGCCTAAGAGCTTAGAATAAAATCTCATGACACTAAGTATATGTCTGTCTTCCTTTATCATTTTAGGTTCTTATTCCTTATTTCCATTTTATTAACCTTTCATCGACCTTATCCCTTTTGTGTTCTTTACTTTAAATTGGTAAATTCTCTTGAAAAATAAGTGGACTATCAATGACAAAATGTATTATGTTGGTAAGTAGTTATTGCTATTAAAACTATCTTTACTTTATATCAATTACTATATAGCTAATAAAACCAAAATTGAAAGATTGTCAAATTAACAAATATTTTTTTTC